CTCCACCAGCACCCTGCACACCCCACCACCAGCATCCTGCACACCCCACCAGTGTCCTGCTCCCTCCTGCTCTCCCTGATTTTATCATTTCTGTGCTGCTCTGGAGAGTTCCTTTTCTTTGCACCGCACGACCTGCCTGCCCTTGACTCCCAGGTAGCCCTGGTGCTCAGCTCCCTTCTCCAAACATCCTTCCACAGAGGCTGCTCTCCCACCACGCTCCCATCCTTGTGGCATTTGCTGAGGGGGGGGGAAGCTGAGCAAACCAAACAAATCCAGCAAATATCGCTTGGAAGGGGAACTAACACGCTGTGCACAGAGCACCGGGAAAAACCTCGGTGCCTGTCCTTCCCCTGACCCCTCCTGCCGCACGTCTGCTCCCCCCAAGCCCCCCGCACACCTACGGAGCAATAAGCGCTCGAGCTCTGCTCCTCCCTAGAAAAACAACCAGAGGAGCTTCCCAGAGGAGCTGTTTGCTCCACACCGCTTCCCCACGCTGCGCTTTGTGTTGAGCAAACACAAGGGCAGCCTAAAACAAGTCGGATTTCTCTTTGCCCGGGGAATGCCGCAGGTGCGGACACACCTATAACCCTCACACCCCCTCGGTCAGTCCCGCTGTACGAGGAGGGTGTTGGTGTTTATTGCCCTTTTCCCAGCTGCCCACTGGCACGGACTTTGCTCCTCCGGGTTGGGATTTCTGAGCAGCGGGAGGCTTTCCACGTGTGTTTGAGAAGGTACAAAGCCTGCCGGAAAACAATGGAAATAGCTGCCTTATGACTGCTGCGTGTCACGCACTCGCTTCTCGCCCGTTGGTTTGTCCTTGGAGCCGCTCGCACCGCCTGGAACCTGATCCCGAGCGGTGCCGGGCGTTCAGGCTGGCACGCACACGGCTCCGCCGTGCCATGTGGGAGAGACACGGCTGTGCTCCGACCCCGCTCAGCCCACCGGAGTCCCGAGCCACCACGGATGTGGTGATTTTGTGTGGGCTTCCTGCTGGGAGGAAACAGCTGCTCAGAGCAGAGTGTGGTGGGAGCAACGTCTCCCGTGCTCTGCTTCCCACAGGGCCCCGGCCTGGGAGCGTCCCGGTTGGCAGCAGCACGGCCCCTGCCAGGCTCTCCACTCTGCCGGGATAGGGGCTTCTCAACCCCGGGACTGGATCTCCTCAGACCCCCAGGACAGGCTCCCTTCAGCCCCCTCAAGGACAGATTCTCATCAGACTCCCCAGGACTGGATCCCCTCCTCTACACTCCAAGGACAGGCTCCCTCAGTCCCCCAAAGGACAGGGTGTGTGGTGTCCTCTCTTCCCAGGACTGGACCCCTTCACCCCACACCCTTTCAAGCACAGGTTTCCCCCCTCAGGACTGGATCCCCTCATTCACTCCCCAGGACAGGCTTCCCTCAAGCCTTTCCCAAGGACAGGATCCCCTCAGCCCTCCATCAGAGGCTCCTCTCTGTTCAAGCTGCCCTCAGCTCCCCAAGAACAGGATCGCCTCCATTTTCCCCAGGACTGGATCCCCTTACCCCCACTACAGGACTGGATCCTCTTCACCTCCCCCCGGGACAGACTCCTCCCAGCCCCTCTAAGCACAGAGTCCCCCCTGGTAATGGATCCCCTCAGGTGGTCCCTCTGGGACAGACTCCCCTCAGTCCCCCCAGGACTCCATCCCCTTATCCACTCTCCCAGCAGAGGCTCCTCTTGGGCCCCTCAAGCACAGAATCCCCCCCAGATCAGATCTCCTTAGGTCCCTCTTGCCAGGCTCCCCTTCAGCCCTCCTAAGAACTGGGCACCCCCAGGACTGGATCCCCTCAGGCCCCTCTGCCCAAGACCCCCCTTCAGTCCCCCCCCAGCGGGCACAGCCGGGGGGGGGGGGGAGGGGGGGGCTGGGATGCAGCAGCCACCTCTCCCTCCCTCCATCTCCCCCTCCTCTCTCCCTCCCTCCATCCTCGGCCGCTGCGTGCCTGCCGCCTGCCTTCCCCCTTCCCTCCCCCCCCGCCAGCCCGCGGTGATCCGCTGATCTCATGGCCGCGCCTCACGACACCCTTCCCCGGCACGTCAGCCCCGCCATCGCGTGAGAGCCGCCGGGCGCCCCGCCCGCGCCCCCCCCCGCCGCCGCCATCACGCACGGCGAGAACAGATGCCGGCGAGGCGCTGCCGGAGCCCGCTGCGGACCCCGCGCCATCAAAGGCGGGCCCTCGCCAGCTCCTATTAATGCACAGCTTAATTAATGACCCCCGCGGGGGGCGAGCCGCCCTTCACACGCAACACACACACACACACACACACACACACAGAGACAGGGCCTGCCGGGGGAGCACGAAGAGGTTAATGCAGGCGGGGGAGCGGGGCAGGAGGCGGCCGCGGCTGCCAAGGCGGGGATTAGCGAGGCTCGGAGCTCGGCACGCAACGTGGGACGGGGCACGGCGGCGACACACGCGAGGGACCGCCGGGGACACGCGTGGCACGGAGCCCGGGGGGGCGAGCGGGGCACCGCTCTCCGAGCCCCCCCCCCCGCCCCGCCGCCCTCCTGCCGCAGCACCTCCTCACACGATTTGCCTCTTTCTCCCCTAAATCTCACCGCCTTCACCAATCCAACCCCCTACTCAGACACAATTTCCACCAATCCGACCCCCTACGCCTGCAGTTTTCCTTTTGTGCCAGTAAAATTTTCCCTCCCTCAACACCCCCGATTTTGCCTCCCTCTGTTGTGACAGCACCTTCTCATCCAATTTGCCTTTTTTTTTCCTCCCTAAAACTCACTATTTTCTTCAATTGAACCCCCCACTGATGCAATTTTCCTTTTATTCTGGTAAAATTTTCCTTTCCCCCCTCAGATTCACCACCTTCTTTGAACAACCCCCTCATTCATGCAATTCTCCTTTTTCTCCCACTGAAACTCAATTTTCTTCATTCCAACCCCCTACTCATGCAATTTTCCTTTTATTCCAGTAAAATTTTCCTTTCCCCCCCCATAAAATTCACGATTTTCTTCAATCCAACGCCCCTACTCACGAAATTCCCTCTTTTTCTTCCAATAAAAGTCACTATGTTCTTCAATCCCCTACTCATGCAATTTCCCCTTTTTTTCCAATAAATTTTTCCTTTTCCCCTCTAAAATTTACTACTTTCTTCAGTCCAACCCCTGCTTTCCCCCTCTTCATCCCCCAGCCTTACTGATGCTTCACCCCAGACACTGAATCTTCACAGCTGCGACCAAGTCGTGCATAAATTAAATCAAGGTCACCCCATTTTTTGCTGTGGCCTGTTCCCAGTTTTTCGTGGGTATCCCTAAACTGTGGTTTTGCAGATGCATCATTTTGTATAAGGCTTGTAGGGAATACTTTAAGCACCTAGGGAATGAGTTGGGTGTATAGGAATTGCCTTGGACGTACAGAAAATTCTTTGGGGGATAGAGGAATTGCTTTGGGGGTGTAGAATTTGCTTGGGGGGTGTAGGAGTTACTTTGGGGATGGAGGAATTGCTTTGGGCAGGCTGCAAATTTGGGGACGGAGCAGATGGTCCCTGCCATGCCATAAGGCTGAGTCCTAACAGCAGCTCGGTTGTGAAGGAAACAGGAGCCCACCAGCAATGGAAAGAAGGGCAGAATGTGGAATGAATCCCGCTGCAAACTCCCGCCTCTCCCTCCCATCTTTCCCTGATTTATTCATTTTTATGGCTGTGCTCCAGTGGATCCCGTCGGGAGCTGGTGGCGCGCGGGCGGTTCATCCCGAGGTTGAGCTCGTGCCTCGGGTGTGACACGCGGATGACCCAGGTGGCATGGATGAATTTGGGGTCTGGGGGCTGAATCTGGGGGCTCAGGGATGGCTGTAGGGTGTCACAGGGGGCTTTGGGGTATCAGGACTGAATTTGGGATGCCAGGGGTGGCTTTGGCATGTAGAGAATGTTTTTAGGGTGTCAGGGGGGATCTTGGGGGGCCAGGTCTGAATTCGGGATGTCAGGGGTGTCTTTGGCATGTCAGGGATGTCTTTGGGGTTTCAGGGATGGCTTTGGGGTGTCAGGGCTGGATTTGGGATGTCAGGGATGTCTTTGGGGTGGCGGGGCTAAATGTGGAGTGGCAGGGACCAATTTGGGGTGGCAGGGCCACTTTGGGGTGACAGGGCTGAATTTGGGGTGGCAGAGCTGACTTTGGGGTGTTAGGGGTGTTTTTGGAGTGGCAGGGCCAGGTTTAGGATGTCAGTGCTGAATTTGAGGTGTCATGGAAGGTTGTGGGGTTCAGGGGTGGCTTTGGAATGTCAGGGGTGGCTTGGCCAAGTTTGCGGTGGCAGGGCCAAATTTGGCATGTCACGGTCAAAGTTGAGGTGTCAGGGCCAGGTGTGGAGTGTCCAGGGGGTCTTTGGGGTGCCGTGACCAGCTTTGGGGTGTCAGGGATGGCTTTTGGGGGTCCAGGATGAATTTGGGGTGTCAGGGATGGATTTGGGATGTCAGAGCTGGCTTCGGGGTATCAGGGCTGAATTTGGGGTGTCTGAGCTGGATTTGGGGTCTCGATGCCGAATTTGGGGTCTCAGTGCCGAATTTGGTGTGTCCGGGCTGAATTTGGGGTGTCCGGGC